CTTGACATTTGTGTTCTGTTTCAGATTTTTGGGAGAGAAGCCCGTACTGTTATGCAAGTTTTGTTAATTCAGTAGTAGTGTACGGGATTTCTTTAGTGGTTATGTGTGGGTCAAGATCTTCATTACTGATATAGTTGCATTCTCTTTTAATTAGAGGTTTTGTGCTATTACAGCAGTGTTTCCTGCAATTTTTCATCAGAGCTAATTCCTTTTGAGGGTAATTTTGATTCATGTGAGGAATTTCTTTCTCCTCTGTTTCCTTTGAGGAATCGGCATTATGTGAATTTTTAACATGTTCCTCTCTCAGGGCAGCCCGTAATAAATTATTTACATCTCTTTCTTCATCTTATTGTTTTTGCAAAACTTCAACTAGGTTTTGGAGGGAGTCTATGACAGCATTTTCCTCACTTTTTCACTTAAAGCGAGTTTCTATGGCTACTGTGAGGCAGGCTTCCAAAACTGAGCAGAGGATGGTTTTATTATTGACCAGTTTGAATTTTTTTTCATGTTGCAAAGAACATATTCCATCAATAATATTTTCTAAGTTAAACCAATTGCAGTTTGCCCATTCTTCTCCTCCTGGAGAAGGTGTGGCATTGTATTTAGCAAGCAGAGCATAAAATTCACCTTTACCTTTTGCACTGAAGTTTTTAGTCATTTTGTGAGGGGACCAAAGCTACACCAGGGAGTTAATTATAAACTTAAGTTACACAAATCACACAGCCTTTGCTGTTTCCCCTTGCTTCCCTGGGTAGTTGAAGAGACAGAATCTGCTGAGAGGCTCTATTTGGTTACATCAGGAATGTCTCTTCCTTCCCAGACAGTCCTGATACACACACACACACACACACACACACACACACAAACGATTCCTTGGTGAGGGGACAAAGCCCACAGCAGGGAAAAGCCACTCAGCCTTTGCTGCACCGCCCCTCACTCCTATGTGTAGGTGAAGGGACAAAATCTGTCAAAGACGCTCTGTGTGACTGCTTCAAGTCTGTCCCTTCCTTCCTAGACAGTCCAGATACACACAAATACAACAGTAACAGTTACCCCCGTTTTGCACCGAAAAATCTTTTGTGCCAATTTCGGAGCCTGAGTGCTCAATTGAGCATGAGATTTGCCTTTTAGGTGTGTGCAGTTTGCAAGAGATTCGAATCACACTCTTTTGGAGTAGACTCTCTCTCCCCTGTTACAGACTACACAGAACCTGCAAATCTCTTTGGCTACCAGAATCCTGTCCTGTGACACCAATTATGTGGCGATCCGTCCCAGTGAACAGGTGATGTGGTGATTTTAAGGTGGAAAATAACCAACAAAGGCACAGGGGATTTGCAGTAACAAATCAAAAAATGCAGTTTTTTTGAAATAACCACAACAGAAATGCATTGGTAAGGGGGAACCGGGGAAAAAAAGGAGAAGATAAGGAAAAGAGGGAAGAGAAGGGGGGGAGGGAAATGGGTGTAGCTACCGAAATGTGATGCTGCTTTTTTCCTTCAAAGGTCTAGCCATCGAAAGCTCACCAGGCCATGTCTGGGGAGATCTCAAAATCTCTAGCTAACTCAGAGGTTTTTATTATTGAAAATTGTGAGGCGGGGGGGGGGGGGGGGGGAACAGATACAATAGGGAATAGATGTAACAGGTAGTCTATGTTCTCAGCAGTAAGCGACAGCCATTGTCTTCTTGGTCCAGTGGTCACAACCTGCAGGCAAACATCTCGCTTTGGTCAGCTTGCCTCCCCCACACACCTCCCCCGGGCTGGGGGCTTCAGTCCCAGTCCTTGGAAGGAGCAGAGGGGCCTTTTCACATAGGAGTTTCATGTCTCAGTCCTTGATGGAGAGGCTTCTGACATCTCAGTCTTCTGTCACGGTAGTTGTAAAACAGGTGAAGGTCTTTTGTGGGAGACCACCCAAAACTCAGGAGAAGTCAGCCAGGCCAAGAGGTGGGACAGCTTCCAAGGCTATTGTTGCAAAAAGGGCACGGTGCCCCTTCTTAGCATACAGCAAACAACACCTGTGAAAACAAATAACTTAACACTATCCTTTCAGGTCTCAGGGCCTTTGGCGTGTGACTTTCTCCTTCAGAGCCAGAGATTTTAGAGAGCACAGTATTCTCTTCAGTGGTCCCCCAACGACAATCATGAGGCAGATGAAGAATATTTCAGACTCTCACACCCACACAGCCCAGCTCGGTGCTGGCTCTGGAGCAGAGCAGCTTCCAGCAAGCAAGGGGCAAACGCATCTTGCCAAGAGTTCAAATACAGCAGATAGGGAAGATGGCATTAATGTGCACATAAAGGCCTTTGAATTCACAGCTCTGAGAGGCATTTGGGGCTCTTGGCTAGACAGAGATGATCCGCTTCTGTCCTGTGCTCAAAGGAGGGGGACACACCCCGCTGCTGGTGCTTGCCTGGGTCTCTGCAGGCCCAGGCAGATGCCAAAGATGCTCTTCACAGCCTTCTCCCTTGCCACGCCCCTCTGCCAAGTGCAAGGGGCCTCACGGATGGAAAGGAGTGCAGGGAGCCAAAGAGAGACAGCTGCACCTACCTCAGCTCCTGGGGAAGCACTTTGCTTGAGAAGCAAGCCCCTCTCTTCCAAAGGCATTTCCCCAAATTTCTCCATTTCCCAGGGAACACCAACTCGCACTTAAGAAACCCTAGCAAGGCTGAATTCCTTCTGCACCTTGTAGCCCAGGCCCTGCAGCTTGAGCTCATCTTCCTTCTCTTGAGTCTGTTTCCTCGTGTCCCTTGTGGCGCGCAGCCCCAGGCTCCCTAGAAACAAGAGCTGCCCGCTGCCCGTTCAAGTGCCTGAACTCCTGCCCGCACTCACGGCAGCAAAACCAGGCTGTTCCCAGCCAGGGAGCGGAGCCCTGTTCCCGCAGGATGCTCTCATCAGCCCCTTGCCCACTGTGCACGCAGCACTTCTGCCTGCCTGCCTGCCCAGAATGCTCTTGGCACAGCAGAGCACAAGCTGGCCGGCTCTAGGCTCAGCACAGCCCAAACACAGGTCTCTGCAGGAAGACACAGCAGCTATTTTGCAGCCATGCCCCAGAGAGATGGGAAGGGGCCCCTGCCTCTGGTCTCACTTGGTTGGGTTTCTGACTGGCTCTGAGGCAGGGGCTGCCTGATTCCTGGCTTGTGGGGAGAGCAGAGCCGCCGGAAGCACGCCCAGAGTGAAGGCACTGCCTGACAGCGCTGCAGCCGCTGGGACAGTCGCGCCCCTGAGTCCCAGCCACTCCGCTGCCACTGCTGCTTCATTTGCTTTTAGGCACAGCCAAAGCTCACTGCTAGGCCACGATGGTCTCTGCTCCTGCTCTCTTCCTGTCCCTGTGTAGGGTTGGAGCATTGCTTTGCTTTCAGGAGGCTCTTGGTGGAAACTTCCGGCATTGCATGCTGTTTTTCCCTCGGTGGATGCTTGCACTGGAATCCCTCACGGCTGGGTTTAGAGCACACTCAAGTCGGCTCTTCTAAAACCCAGGGTACTTTTCCCCTTCAGCGTGCTCAGCACGCTTTTTAACTCCACGCTGCTGTGCAACTGGAGCAGCAGGACAGGGACCTTTGCAGCCTGAGCTGCCCTTGTTCCTCTCTGTCCGTGCCCGGAACACAGCGGGGAGGAGAACGGCAGCAGGGCCCTGCACGTCCCTGGGCTCAGGTTTTGTGCCGCTTCAGCTCCATGGAGACGTGGGCCAAGTGAAAAACCCAAACAGTTTATTACGGAAAAGCAAAGTGAAGGGGTGAGCTGGGAGGTAAAAAGGGGGATGGGCAGGGCCTGAGGGTGGCAGAGAAGGAGCTGCCAACAGGGAGAGAGCTGGCAGGAGCTGCTGGAGCTTGGCACAGGCTCAGCTGTGAGCAGCCAGAGCCATGCCTGGAGCTGCAGCTGTTCCCTTCTGCTCTGCAGGTGGTCCTATCTTCAGTGGGAACTAGAAATCTCTGAAGGAGGCCGGTACAGGTGACCCAGGAGACAAACAAAGTTCTGCAGATCTTCCTTGGAATTTCATCAGAATCCATATGCTCATGCAAAATGGGTTCTTGTCTTCCCTGAGGGCTTGAAGATCTGGAAGAGAGAGAAACACAGCCACGGTCAGAGGCCAGATTGGGGGAATGCAAGGAAAGCCTCCTGCCAGGGCCATCCCAGCTGGCTCTTGCCATGGCCCGGAGGGAGCGGGAGACAAAGTCTTCGGCCAGAAGGTGCTGGCCACGTGTCCCCCACATGTCTCCGAAAGCTCTCTGGGCTGTGCCCCCACCGCCCCTGGTCCACACAGGGAGCAGAGCCCTCTGCAGCTCGGGAACAGGTTGTAGCTGCGGGGTCAGGATTTGCAGTTGCCCCCACCCAGCAGTGCTTGATGTTGCGTGGCTGCCCTGACTCACCCTCAGTGAGGACCTGGAGCTCCTCCTTCTGCCCCATCATGAGCACTCTGGCCAGCCCTGGCAAGACAGAGCCCGTGGTGACCCCAGGTGGCACAGCTGCCTGACACAGGCAATGCCAGCCCTGCAGCTGCACACCCTCCTGCCCCGGCAGGGCTCCTGCTGGCCCCTGCTGCACGCTGCTGCCCGAGGGCACGGCTACAGGAGGGCGGCGGCAGCGCCAAGGGCGGGCGGGACTTCAGTGGCCCAGGCATGGCTCCTGCTTTAGCCAGGGCAGCAGCCGGGCCGGGGGCAGGGAGGGGCGCCGGGCTGCTGGCTCACCGATCAACCTGACGGCCGCCTCTTGCAGGGGCCTCTGTGGGCTCTGCAGGTGTGGCAGGGCCCAGCGCAGGTGCTTGGCCCCTCGGCTCTTGTCCTGCATCAGTTGCGGGGAGCGCCAGCAGGGAAGGCTTGGCGCAGGCTCTGCCCCTTGGCCCGGTGCTCCCTACGCGCAGCAGCGGCTGAGCCGGCCGGCACGGCCCAGGGCAGGGAGCAGCGTGGGGAGCGCAGGCTGGCAGGCCCACCTGCAGCGCTGGGCAGGGGCACAGCTGCCAGCCTCCCACACTGAGCACTGGGGCAGGGGGCTTCTCCAGTCTAGCCTGCGTCTGGGGCTCCTGGGCTGTCCTTACCAAGTTCTCGGCCAACTTCATCCGCCGCTTCTTTCTCAGCAGCTCCTCGAGATCCCTCCTCCTCAGGAAGCGTGCCACACAAAGCAGGGCTTTGCCAGAGACCTGGAGAGCAACAGAGAGCCGCAAGTGGCACCAGAGCCCAGGTGAGTCACACGGGACCCAGGTCCCTGTCCCAAGGCCAGGGGAGGCTGGAGCCCGCCAGGCGCCGGGGCAGGAGGCGGCCGAGCTGCCTGCCAGGGATGCGGCAGCATCACACAAAGCCTCACCTCAGCCATGTGCAGGTTCTCATGGTGCCAGCTCAAGAATAGAGGGAGCAGGCTCCGGCTCCCAATTGTCATAAGAGGATTTTCCCTCTCTTCCACTCCCAGCTCCATCACCTTGCTGAAGAGCTGAATGGAGAGCAGCTGCACAGGGCTGTTGTCCTGGAGGAAAGGAAAAGTCCTAAGCACCAACTACTCCAGGCCCATTGGGGCAAAGGACCAAAAATGCACAGGGCACAAAGTTTCCAGGCAGGCAGCATCCAGCGCCCTTGGCTGGGGGGACAGGGCCTTACATTCTCAACGTGTGGCACGAGGGACTCAGCCAGCTTCAGGGCAGTGATGCTGGGTATCTTGAGGTCTTTGTCCTAGAGCATATGCATGAGCACAGAGAGGCTCATCCTGACCACCTCTGCATCTGGATCGGCCAGCTGTTCCACCAGGTATTGATAGAGGCCGTGTATTCCTCCAGCCTGTGTGCAAGACCAGGCTGTGCTGTGAAGCTGTGAATGGCCGCAGCACAAACAGCTGCTTGGGGCACTCGGGCAGCTGAAGCAGGAGGCAGGAGAGCTGGGAGCAGCTGCCTCTGCTGCCAAAGGCCAGCCAAGCCCAAAGGTCTGCCTTCCCCAGACCCATGCTGCCAGCGCGACTTCAGCCACTGCCCCCTTCTCACCAGCGAGGGCTCCTTGCTGAGAACCACGAGGCCTCTGAGCTCCAGGCGCAGCCTGTCCCTGCACTGGCTCGGCAGGTGCCGGAATACGACCACAGGTTTGCTCAGGTCCAGACACTCCAGGAGTGAAAGGCGCAGGGCAGTGACAGGGGAGCTGGCCGGCAGGAGCCCGGAGCCGCGCAGGGCCAGCTCCAGGCAGCAGCACAGGGCACGGGCACCATCCCAGGCGGCTGCAGCTACGAGAGGACAGAGAGCTGGGAGGCAGCTCAGCCAGGCAGCGCTGGCCTTCAGGCTAACCTCCACCAAGAAGGCCAGGGCAGGCAGATGCCAACAGGGCTGTTTCCCAGCCAGCAGGCTGAGCAGGTGCGAGGCCATGTGGGGACACAAGGGGCTCAAGGCACAGTGCATCTCCCTGCCAGGGGAAAAAGGCACCAAGGCCCTGAGCCAGGCAAGCAAACCTCTCCCAGGAGTGACTCACAGAGGTCCCATCTTTTCCCAGCACTTGGCAAGGGGACATGGGCCCCTTGGGAGGCGGCTGCTGCTGGGCATCCTCCTCTCCCAGCCCTTTGCAGCCTGCTCGGCCCTCCCTCGGTGTCTTGGTTTGGAAAGACAGGAGTCTGCTAAGGAAGGCAGGAGCCTCTCCTGAAAGGGAGAATGTAAACCCTCTCCACCCCTCCAAATTGCTATAAATTTTTAATTAAGGGGCTCTCAGGCAAAAACATGGGAGCAGAAAATAACACTTCTTTAATAGGGAAAGGAAAAAAAATAAAATTATAAAATAAACAATGCAGTACACTAGAACAACACTGACAGAATCAGAACCCAACCTGACACCCTGTGGCCTGTTGGTGGCAGTCCAATTGGAAATGTGGTTGCAGTTCTCCTGAAGTATCAGGTGGAGCAAGGGGAGCAAGGGGAGCAAGGGGAATCTGTAGAGAAGGATGTATTCTTCCTCTGAAGATCCAGTGGAAGAAGAGACAGCTGCTGTTCCTCTGGGGAATCCAGTGGAGAAAGCTGTGCTGGTGTCCCAAAAACTTCTGGATTATATCTGGGTAGCAATGCTTGGCTGCTCTCTCTGGGCGGAACATCTCACAATGGGATGTTATAGTTCTTATCACAGGGGCTTCACTCGCTTGGCCTGTTTGATCTCAGCACATGTCTCACAGTCATGGATAACCTGAGAAATACTGTCCATGGTTAGATCCATCCCTCGGTCTCATGCCCACTTACAGGTGGCATCTATGCCCTGATGAACTGAGGCATCATAGGCTCATCTAGCTAGGAATAACTCTCCTTTATGTTGCCAATCTAAGTCTATCTTTGACACCTCTCTCTTTGCAGCTTGGTCTACCTGCTCATTGTTTTGGTGTTCCTCATTAGCCCGACTCTTGGGGACATGGGCATCTACTTTACAGACTTTCACAGGTAGCTTCTCTACCCAAGGGGCAATGTCTTTCCACTCATCAGCAGACCAGACTGGTTTTCCTCTACACTGCCAGTTAGCCTTTTTCCACCTCTCCAGCAATCCTCACAGAGCATTGTCTACCATCCATAAATCAGTGTAAAGGAAGAGCTTTGGCCACTTCTCTCTCTCAGCAATGTCCAGGGCCAATTGAACAGCTTTGAGTTCAGCAAGCTGGCTTGATCCACCTTCTCCTTCAGTGGCCTCTGTGACTTGTCCTGTGGGGCTCCATAGAGCTGCTTTCCACTTTCGTTTCATTCCCACAATGTGGCAAGAACTATCAGTAAAAACAGCGTATCGTGTATCTTCTGCTGACAGTTGGTTGTATGGTGGACCTTCCTCAGCCCGTGTCATTTCTTGTTCCCTTTCATCAGCAAGACCAAAATTTTCACCTTCCGGCCAGTTTGTAATTATTTCCAGAATCCCAGGGCGATTCAGGTTTCCAATATGGGTGCCCTGTGTGATAACAGCAATCCATTTGCTTCGTGTAGCACTGGTGGCATGGTGCGTAGAGGGAGCTTTTGCTTTGAACATCCACCCCAATACTGGTAGTCGGGGTGCCAGGAGGTGTTGTGCTTCAGTGCCTATTACTTCTGAGGCAGCCTGGACTCCTTCATAGGCAGCCAAGATTTCCTTCTCTGTGGGAGTGGAGTTGGCTTCAGACCCTCTGTATCTTCAACTCCAGAATCCCAGTGGTCGGCCCCGAGTCTCCCCAGGCACCTTCTGCCAAAGGCTCCAGGACAAGCCATGGTTCCCGCCTGCAGAGTAGAGCACGTTCTTCGCCTCTGGTCCTGTCCTGACTGGGCCTAGGGCTACTGCATGAGTGATCTCCTGCTTGATCTGGACAAAGGCTTGTTGCTGTTTAGAGCCCATGGGGAAATCATTCTTTTTTGTGGGTGACCAGGTAGAAAGGGCTCACAATCTGGCTGTACTTTGGAATGTGCTTTCTCCAAAATATCTGTGGCACCTAGGAAAGCTGGTGTTTCCCTCTGGCTTGTTGGTGGAGACAGCACAGTGATCTTGTTGATGACCTCAGTGGGAATCTGACACCATCCATCTTGCCACTTTACTCTCAGGCACTGGATCTCTCGGGCAGGTCCCTTGACTTTGTTCTTCTTCATGGCAAAGTGAGCTTCCAGGGGAATCTGGATGATCCTCTCTCCTTTCTCAAATACTTGCACTGCTGTGTTCCCTCACACAATGATGTCATCCATGTACTGCAGGTGTTCTGGAGCTTCACCCTTTTCCAGTGCAGCCTGGATCGGTCCATGGCAGATGGTGGGGCTGTGCTTCCACCCCTGGGGCAGTTGGTTTCAGGTGTACTGCACAGCCCTCCTGGTGAAAGCAAACTGAGGCCTGCATTCTGCAGCCAGAGGAATGGAGAGAAACGCGTTAGCAATGTCAACAGTGGCGTATAACTCTGCTGCCTTGGACTCCAGCTCGTACTGGAGTTCCAGCATGTCCGGCCCAGCAGTGCTCAACGTTGGAGTCACTTCATTCAAGGCACGACAGTCCACATTCAAACTCCATTCTCTGTCAGCATTGCGCGCAGGGCAGATGGGGCTGTTGAAGGGTGAGTGGGTTTTGTTGACCAGTCCTTGGCTCTCCAGCTCATGGATCATATTGTGCATGGGGATCACAGAACTCCAATTCGTTTGATACTGCCGATGGGGCACCATCGAGATGGCAATCGGCACTCATTGCTCTTCCACCTTCAGGAGTCCTACTGCAGATGGGTTTTCTGATAGTCCAGGCAACGTGTTCAACTACTTAATGTTCTCTGTCTCTACAGCAGCTATTCCAAAAGCCCACTTGACTCCCTTTGGGTCTTTTTAATTCCCCTTCCAGAGGAAGTCTATGCCCAGAACACACGGGGCCTTTGGGCCAGTCACAATGGGAATTTCTGCCACTCCTTCCCAGTCAGGTCCCCCCGTCACCCCAGCAATGGAAACAGGTTCTGCCCCCTCTGTCCTGGAGGGATTAGAGTACACTGTGCACCAGGCTGGACAAAAGCCTTGGATATCTACGGCTCTTATGTGCCAGGGATCCCCACAGCCCAAAAGACACAATTTTCCCTGGCTTTTACCTGGCTAGAGGCAGCACCTCTCTAGTCCTGGCTACTGTTCCCTTCCTGGGCATATATTCTTGATGTTCCTTCAAGGGGATCTGACATATCATCCTCCCTTCTGCTATCCCTGGCAGCTCGGTCACAGGGATCTGGGGCTGCATTCATTTGGGTGGAAATCCCTCTCTTAGTAGTTTCCTCCTTCAGCTTGTATACCCATGCTGCTAGGACAGAGATGAGTTTTCCATTCCACCCTCTCATGTCTTGCCCATGTTCATCCAGGAAGAACCACAGGTCCACTTGTGGGATGTACTCCCTCTCCCTAGCTGGAGGATGTTGGGCTCGGACACTGGGGCCTCTGGTTTGCACTGGTGCCACATGGGAACTGTCCTTGCTCATCTCCTTCCTCATCTTCTCTCTGAACTTTTCCTGTTCATCCTTGAGACTTGACCACAGCATACACATGAGTGTGCGTCAGGCCATGGACAATGGTCTCATCATTCCTCAGTTTGTTTGCTACAGAACTCACTGTCTCTTGGTTATCCACAAAATGCATTGTTCCCATGAAGCTGGAGTATTCAGATGTCCCCTGCTGCGAACAGCTCCACCACATTTGCACTGTGCACCTGACCTTGTCAGGCTCATTATTTTGTCCATCCCTTGCAAAAAGTATCTCCAATACTGCCATTTGTCCCTGAGGTCAGAATTCTTCCTTTTTTTTTCTTGAGCAGTACCCAGCCCTCTGCCCCCTCCAGACCCCAGCCCCAGGGGCTGCTGGCTGCCTCACAGGGCTGTGTGGTCAGGGGAGGCCAGTGCTGGCCACAGGGAGAGCCCAGCCCAGGGGCTGAGCCTGCACCAGCTGCACCCTCCTGGCACTCTCCAGCTGGCAGAGGACAGGAGCAGAGCAGCCAAGCACTTCTGCCAGGCCCTGCAGTGCCAGGACAGCCCACAGGAGCCCCTGCGAGTGGCAGTCATCAGGTTCATTGGTGACTCATGAGCCTGGGCCCCCTGCCCACCCCACCCCTCCCTGCCCCACCCTTCCCCACCCTACCCAACCTCTTTCTCCCCAGCCCTGCCCAACCCTACTGTGCTCTGCCCTGTTCTGCTCCACCCAACCCAGCCTTGCCCTACATTGCTGTGCTCTGCCTTACACTGCTCCACCCAACACGGCCATGCCCCACCCTGCCTCACCCTGCCCCACGCCACCCCACACTGCTGTAGCCTGGCCCTACCTCGCCATGCTCCACCCTATACTGCTCCACCCAACACAGCCCCACCCTGCCCCACCCAACTCAGCCACACCCAGCCCCACCCTGCCACACCCTGCACCACCCTGCCACACCCAACCCCTGCCCTGCAACATCCAACCCCACCCTGCCCTACCCAACTCTGCCCCACCCTGCCCCATCCCGGCCTGCTGCAGCTCGGCCCTATCGCTTCTTGGGGGTCTCTGTACAAATCACCAGTGGGACAGGACTGCTGGGGAACACGTCCCAAGCTGTTTTATCTTCCAGCATCGGCCTCATTACATGGTTATGGCAATGGGTAGTTGCCACCAGCTCATATCCCCGGCAGCAGACCAAGAACTTCATGTTACAACTTACTTTAAAAGTTTTTGACCAATCACACAAAGCAAAAGCATATTGAGAGTATTTCTATCCAACCACTGTAAGCACACATAGCTCTGGTTAAAAAATGCTCACTTATTTTGAATATAATACCTGCTTGTAAGCATTAAAATGCAGTCCACAGGGCTCCATTATTAAGCTTAGAATTTCGTAATATCTTGGTAGATACACTTTTCTGTAGCTTAGGGAATTATTCTAGCCAAGCATTATTACCCAGATCATTTTTCTATTAATCCTTACTTTTCTACTTCTTATAAAAAAATTTCTGCTGAAAAATTTAAGGAGGCTGCTTAACTGTAATCGAACTTCTGCTCTCTCTGAGGCCTGCCTTTTGTAGCATTCCTAAAACCCCCAGATTATAAGGATTCCCACCGGTCCTAGCTCTGCCTGTTGCACCAACACCGCCAGCCGGGCCCGGCGCCGTGGAGCCCCGTCTGGCCTGGGCATTGCTGCTTCCGCCCTCTGGCAGCCATGCCCTGGGGCGGCAGCGTGCGGCAAGGGCCAGGCTGAGCCATGCCGGGCCAGCAGCCCGTGTGGCCACAGTGCCAGCAGCGCTGCTGGCAGGGAGCTGTGCCTCTGGGGCCGTGACAGGCTGTGTGTTCACAGGCATGGCCGGGCGGCACCTGAGGGGGCAGCAGCAAGAGCTGCAGCGAATCTGCACTGGTGAGTGAGTGATGGCAGCAGGCTGACAGTGGGGGCTGCCGGGAGGAGCTGCAAGCCCTGTCCCGGCTGCCGAGGGCTTTGCTCCCGGGGGCAGAGCACACTGAGATTTCAGGGCCACGTGGGTCATTCATGGCCAGCAGCTTTGGGCTGATCCCCTTGCTCCCTGCTCCGTCCTGGCCATGGTAAGAGTCGGCTGGGATGGCCCTGGCAGAGGGGCTATCCTTGGTTCCCCACAGATTCGGGATTTGACCGTGCCTCTGTTACTCTCTCTTGCAGCCCTGGAAAGCCTGACAGAGGACAGGAGCAGTGCCGTGTCATAGCTGGCACTTCAAACACCCAATGTTCTCCAGCCAATACAGCGTGGGCGATATTCCATCTTCCAGTGGCTGCAAGATCTTCTGCGCATGAAATGGAGAACTCAGCCTCGTCTGTGCGGCTTGGCTGGCTGCACTGCTAGAGGTCTGAGGAGATCTGGGAGGCTCTCCTTGCTGGGGCAACCTAAGCCAGCAGGAACTATCCTTTTTTTCAAGATCTTTCTCTTCTTCTCTATTTTTTATCTCTACTGTAAATAAATAAATTATAGGGCATATATAGTTCTATCTATTATTATATATTACAGATTATTGTAAAGAAATAAATTCTAGAATGTGTGATGATACACGGACTGCCTGGAGCTTTTCTTTGCTGCCCAGGGTCTCCAGGGCAAGAGGCAGAAAAGGGTGAAAAGGATGCTTGTGCTCAGCTGCACAGCAGCCTGAGGTTTAGTGAGGCCCTGAAAGGGGAACAGGGTGCTTGCACTCAGCCAGCTGCCCAGGCGTGCAGTGGGCCAGGGGAAATGGCCAGAAGCCCCTTGGCCTTTGGTGGTCCTGCTGAAGCCTTTATGCTGCCCACAGAGCGGCTGGGCAGGGGCCGGAGCTGCGGGGATCCCTGCCAGAGCAGTGCCTGGAGATGGCCACAAGCCCCGTGCTAGGCAGGAAGCGCCAGCTGTGTCCTCCTGCCCGTCTGCTGCTGGCTGCCTTGCTGAGGGCTCCCAGGTGCCTCTGGATGGGGCTGCTCTGGAGCTGCGGTGGGGCTGCGGCGCTGCTGCCAGCAAGCTTGGCCGGGCTGGGGCAGCCCCTGAGGGGCTGGGGCGCTGGCAAGCCCTGAGCAATGGGCTGTCAGAGGCCACAAGCAGCCCCCTGGCAGCCGCCTTGTTCCTGCCAGAGTTGACTTGCAAGATGGATCCTGGGCACTCTGCAACTAACAGCATCAGTGTTGTTGGAAACCCAAATGCAGAAAAATCTCAGACCTTTGGTCTTGTCAGCAAAGCTTAGAATTAAACACAGGATTTGATCTGAGACCTTGGAAAGGGCTCCCAAACTTAGGTGCTAGAAGCGAGAATGGGGATTTCTAGTTTATAGCAGCGACACGGGGAGGAAAGTTGAAGTGGAGGAAAGTTTAGAGTTTTAGAGTTCAAGATCTAGGAAAAAATCAAAGTAGTTACAATGGTAAACAAGAAGTTTAGGATGTAGTGCTGTAGGTTTGTGTGGCATAGCATGATTGGCTAAGGAAGAGTACACTGCAGCAGGATGTGGGAAGCCAGGAAATCCCTCTGATGGCCCTGCAGGACTCAAGACCCTGTCAGAGGCCTCAGAGACTTGGCACAGAGCCCAAGACCCCTGTGCCTTTGATTTAGCTCTTGGAAAAAATAATTACCAACCTTGTATGAAGAATGACCAGCCACAAAATTTGAAGTAGAATGATAGTGAATTCATCCCAGAGTGGAAAAATAGATTTTGAGGGTTTCTAGAATGGGGCTTCAGGAGGCAAGATGGAGGAATCTGGACATGCCCAGCCTTTCTCCTTCTTGGCCTCCATCTTCTGCTGTGATGTTGGCACTTTGAGATGGGTTTAGAGTAGAAGCTCACTGTCTAACATAGATGATAGGTATTGGAAAGTAATTGTAAATATTGTACACGCAGTTGTTTTTAGTATAAAAAGATAACACCATCCCATGGGGAGGCAGAGTGCCTTAGACTGTCTTGCTGAGCGGACCTTGGCAGGACAGGAGAAAGAATTTTATAATTAAGATACAATAAACGACCTTGAGACCGAGAAATTAAGAGCTCTGACTCTTTCTTCGACCACCGAGCGGGGAAAAGAGATTTTCGAACTTATGTCAGGGTCACTCTGACCAGCTAGAGACTCCGAGAGCATGAGTCCGTAAAAGAAAATATTGAAGATTGGGTCCAAAACATAAATATCCTTGCTGGCCGTGTCTTCTTGGCCAAGAAATCTTTCAAAGCTCTTCTAACTACAAGTCTTGCAGCCCTGTGAGCCATGCGGTGGAGATGTGAGCCCAACTCACCTTTCCTGCCTATGTAGAAGAGAAGAAAAAGCAATGACATCGTCTAAAAAATTCAGAGGTCCGCTCTCTAGCTCGTTCCAAACTCCTTCAACTCCCCCAAAGTGGGATTTAGCTACAAATAGATGACAAGGACTCTTAGAGCTGGGTCTTTGACTCCAGAGTGGCTGCTTTAGAATCTTTCACATAACCCTGTGTAGTTAGGTGCCAGAAATGTCTCATTTGAAGAAACTTTCCCAACTGATTTGCATGGAGGCTTGTTTGAAGGGTGTTTGAAGAGAAGGCCTCCCAGCAGAGGTCTGGGCTTTTGCCTAGCTGTGTCCCCTGCTGATTGTGAAGTATGCCATAAGCTGCAGGGCTTTCTGGGCTAAAAATATCATCAGGACACTTGGACTTGCTCTTTTTGGCCTATAAAAGCTGGACCCACTTTCGGGGCAAATTTGGAGACCTAATCTATGGGTGGATGGACCACCTAGGATTTTCCAATTTGTCGCAGACATCTTCTTGTGAAAATTTTTTCTTTAGGATTTTTTCCCTTTTGAATAGCTGAGGCCTCAGAAACAGAATGTAAACAACGGTTATCTGTTGCTGTGGTATGCTGTTGGGAATCGGCGGGAGAAATGCGGCACACAATATGAGTGATCTGAAAATCTCGAACATTATTAATAGGCACACATCTTTATATCGGTGTTAATGAATCTCATACATATTGCAAAGGCGAGCTAACTATTGGTTAGTTACTTATCAGCCAATTACGCCTACTTCTGCATTTTTGTGAGTATAATATTGACATTTTTCTTCGTATTCCTGCCAAAGATTCTCTCCCCTATCCTACTGTTGCACCAAGGGCACAATGTCCTTGCCTGTTATTGGACATTGACTACTGGCTTCTATGCATGTCCCCTTCAAGCTTGACCAGCGGCATTATGTCAACGTGACCTTTCTCAGCTAACCAACTGTCCACAAAACTCTCCACAGTATGCAACAGGTGGATCCGTGATTGGTGTCCTGTAGATGTTTGGATTTATTGACCAGTCATGGCGGAGCTGGCTCTCCATCTCTGTCCAAGCCAGCTGTCATTCTTATTCATTCTTTTCTATTCTTAGCTTAGCTACCTTCTGAGGAAACCTTTACTTCTATTTCTTTTTAGAATAGTTATAACGTAATATATATATCATAAAATAATAAATCAAGCCTTCTGAACATGAAGTCAACATTCTTGTCTCTCCCTTCATCGGAAAACCCCTGTGACCACTGTCACTGATGGTGACCCTTGAGTGAATGAGGGAGAAATTCATCACTTGGTGAGACCACCAGAGGAGCATTGCTACATTTGCGTAAACCCTGGGTATGTGGCATTGATGGTCCCCTCACAAGTGACCACAGAAGTGGATTCTAGCCAGGAGCTGAAGAACTGAGGATCCTGATTTGGACAGAGTTCACAGCAAAGCTGATCACAGAGAGAACCTTTTGAAAAGCCTCTGGGAAGATGTTTGGAAAGCCTAGAAGGATCAAGCAGCTGGCAAGAGCGTGCTGGACACTGTCACAAGGTACTGTTAGGTTTTCAATTCCTGAAGATGCTGCCATTCTCAGACTGTGACTGCATACGTGGGGGACGTCTCCCACAGAGGCAGATGGTTCATTTCTCCCCCTCAGAGGAGAACCTTATTGCCCTCTGGCAAAAATGGGATGAAGAGGACAGAATTCCCCTGTTGCAGAGACATTTCTATGAGTTTTATTGATGGGCAAATTTCTTTGGGTTTTTCACGAATGTGCTCTATGCCCTTGATATGTTCATATGGGAATGCATGGAATCCATTTTCCAAGCTGTTTTGAACTGTGGATTCGGATACTCCCGCATTTATCCAGTGTTCAGGGCACTCTTCCTGGTTTTGAAATGGAGAGCGGCTGCCTTTCCCTAGATTGCTGACTGCAGGAGGCAAGCCCCATTTCCCCCAATTCTCATGGGAGAAGATCCTTTGGGGAAAGACGATCTCCTGCTTCCCAGCCCCCTGGCTTGCAGTGGGGGTGCAAAGTCTTCCCGTAGCCAAAGAAGATTTTCCCATGCGTTTTCGGAGCATGCTCAGACGGAGACGCTATTTGCCCCCGCCGTTGCTCTCAGAGGGGGTTTGAGTGGGCTGAGCTGCCCCTGAAAGCTCGGCAGCATCGCCCCGGCAGGCCTCTTTGACCTTGTCCCACTCAGACTTGGGGACGGCATCAGTGCCCGAGGTCTGGCCTCCCGAGTTTGCGGGACTGTCCCAACCATCCCCGCGGGGGCAAGTGCTTCCCCACGCGGCCTCTCCCACGGCTGTCCCTCCAGCAGAGCCTGTGGGAGCGCAGCCCCGTCTGTGCCTACCAGCTCAGAAACACTTCTTCCCGCGGCTGCGCTGTGTTGCAAGGCAACAGCGACCTGGTGCCTCTTCCGCCGCTTCCTGCAGCTGTGCAGGTGTTGCTAGCCAAAAGCGATACAGCACCACTTCCAAAGCTTCCCACAGCTGTTCTTGTAGTGCTAGGCAATGCACTCAGAGACAAGGGCGGTCGCCACCAGCATGTATCCGAGGCTGCGCCACCTGCAGATGTGCCAAGGGCCTCCTCATGGCCTCCTCCTTCTTCATCGGACCAAGGTTTAGAAACAGGAAATCCTGGTTTGGGGGAAAACAAGGGCTGGGCGCGTTGGGTTTGATGGTCCCTCTGCCCAAGTGCAGCTGGAGAAGTCAGCGCCCCTTTCAGCCTCTGAGGGCCCGGGGCCCGCTCATCCTCAGCCTCCCCCACTCCTCCAGGCAGCCAGTTTGTCTCCCGGCTCCACGATCGCCCCTCTGCGCTCTCCCCACTCCAGGGCTCCCGAGCTCCCCTCGGCTCTCCCGGGCATCCCCCAGCCCAAGATCGCCCCGTGCCTGCCGGTACCGGGCGAACGTGAGGGTGTTTCCTCCATGGGAAAATTACGGTTCAGGTTTCAGGTCCTGCAAGATCCAAACATCCCATGCCTCGCAAAAAAGCCATCCTGGAGACCCCCTGATGGATCTGAGGTGAGCTCCCCCTCCCCACTCACCTGCGGCTCCTAGAGGGGGCGATGCAGCAGGAGCCGGGGGCGCTTTGGCCTGAGCAGCGGGGGAAGGTTGCGGGGAAACCAACGTGGTTCTGCTGCTCCTCTTCCTTCCGCTCCTCCTCTTACGCCTTGTCCTCTGTTCCTCCACTTCCTCCCACTTTTCTTTCGCTCCTAGCCCAGCTCGGGCAATGCTGACACCCAAAAGCAGCCGAGCTCTGCCCTGGGCGGGTTCCGAAACAGCACGGCAGTGAAACTGGGCAGTGAAACTGGGAGCATTGGGAAAGATCCTGAGAGCAGTGGGAAGGAATTGGGAGCGCTTTCCCTGCCAGTCCCGCTTTTACTGGGAGCACTGGGAGGGAACTGGGAGCAGACAGCACTCGGAAGCGACTGCAGCCGGCGGCTAGCAGGGCCACGATAGAAGACGTGGTTATGAGAATAGGAGAGTGGTCGCGCACTCTCCTATTGGGATCCTATGGGGATTGGTAGGTGGGAGCAGCGCAGGGTTTGCTCGCTTATGTGAGGGCCGGGGAGGCTGGAGCAATGGCGGCGGCATCTGGTGAGAGGGGACAGGGAGCGGGAATGGGGACAGGGAGTGGGAATGGGGACCAGGAAGAGGACTGGGAATGGGGACATGATTGGAAATGCCACCCGGAACTGGAATGGCACAGAGAATGGGGACAGGAACCGGGAATTGGAATATGGGTATAGGACATGGAATATTGAAATGGAAATATGGGAACAGAAGTGGGACCGTGAATAACAGAAGGGGAACAGAGACTTGGAATATGGGACAGGGACAGGGAATGAGACTGGAATGAGATTCCGGCTGGGATGGGAGTGGAACGGTACCAGGGTGACACTAGAATGGGTGGGTGAGAGGGGGTGAAAGCAGGGAGAGGGGGATCCTGGACAGGGGACATTGGCAATCAGGACAAAGGGACACAGAGACAGTTCCAGGGCAGGGGGTACTTGATCAGCCGCCCCACAACTTTCACCAGGGTCTCCCAGCATTTCTACAGCTACTAGGCCTGTTCTGCCCAAAGCCCTGAGCAACCCCCAAGTCCCTCCCAGGAACTCTCACCTCACTCAAACCCAGCATGTCCCCCATCCCCTGGAAGATCCCCCCATGTCCCCATCAATGGCTTATTTCAATGTCTTTATTTTTACCCTGGTTTTGTGTGTTTTAAAGGGACAAACAGAAATGAAAGGAAAATCCAGGTCACAGGGTGCCAGGAAGACGTGAAGCCGCTGGACAGGTGGTTTCCAACATGGATAACCGGCAACAGGGATTGCCCGGGCTCTGCTTACCGAGGGTCACTGGGGATCATCCAGGGTGGATCCCTCTTTGGGGCCAGGAGCTGGAGCAGCACAGGAAGCTCTTCCTGCACTTGGGGCACTCACAGTGCTGCCCTTAGTGCTGGCTCTGTTGGTGTCTGCTCAAGATAGAGCTCTGAGAGAAGCTCTTCCCACACTCCGGACACTCATAGGGCCTCTCCCCAGCGTGGATGCGCCGGTGGGTCACGAGGGTGGAGTTATCCCTGAAGCCCTTCCCGCAGTCAGGGCAGCGAAAGGGCCGCTCATCCGTGTGAATCCTCTGGTGCCTGACAAGATGAGAGCTGGTCTGAAACCTCTTCCTGCATTTATCACACTCGAAGGGCTTCTCCCCAGTGTGGCTCCTGAGGTGGTAGATCAGGTGGGAGCGCTGGCAGAAGCTTTTCCCACACTCCCCACACTCGTAAGACCTCTCGCCAGTGTGGATCCTCTTGTGGACAATCAGGTTCGACTTGTGGGTGAATCTCTTCCCACAGTCGGGACACTCATAGGGCCTCTCCTGGGTGTGCATGTGCTGGTGGCTGACAAGGGAGGAGTTGTACTTGAAGCCTTTCCCACAGTCGGGGCAGAGGAAGGGCCTCTCCTCTGTGTGAGTGTGCTGGTGCCTGAGGAGACCAGAGCTGGTCTGAAACCCCTTTCTGCATTTATCACACTCGTAGGGTTTCTCCCCAGTGTGCCTCCTCATGTGGACAGTCAGGTGGGAGATCCGGCTGAAGCTCTTCCCACACTCCTCACACTTGTAGGACCTCTCCTCGGTGTGCCTCCTCAGGTGGACAATCAGGCAGGAGATCCGGCTGAAGCTCTTCCCACACTCCTCACACTTGTAAGACCTCTCCTTGGTGTGGCTCCTGAGGTGGACAGTCAAGTTGGATCTCCGGCTGAAGCTCTTCCCACACTCCTCACATATATAGGGCCTCTCCCCCGTGTGGATTCTCATGTGGCAGATCAGGTTGGATTTCTGGTTGAAGCTCTTCCCACATTTCAAGCACTTCTGGGGCTTCTCCTTACCCTGAAGCTGCTCATGGACCACCAGCTCTGAGCTCCAGGCGCCACCCCAGTCCAGGGTGGGTCTTTCCCCCTCAGATCCCCGAGATCTGCGTTTGCAGCCCCTCCTCGTGTGGGATCTCCGGGGTTTTTCCTCCCCGTTGGATTCCTGTGCTGTGGAGCTGCTCAAAACAGCCTCTTCCACAAGGTTCTGCTGTGGGGATTTGTCCGCCCTGATCTCCATCCTCAGCTCCTGGTCTGGGGGAGGCAGGACAAGGAGAAGATGGGATTTGCCTCCGTGCCACAGGGAAGGACAAGGAGATCCCCCCAGTGCATCCCCAGCAGGACAGCTTTGGCAGCAGGGTTGTCCTGCAGCCGGGGGCCGTGCTGGGGTGGGAGATGGGGGCGCAGGAGAGAGGTGGAAAGGGGCACTGACTTCCTCCTCACCTGCTTGGGGCTGCTGGGCCATCTTCCTCTTCCTCACGACCTCCTCCTCTTGCATCGGGCCAAGGTTTAGAAACAGGAAATCCTGGTTTGGGGGAAAACAAGGGCTGGGCGCGTTGGGTTTGATGGTCCCGCTGCCTGTCTTGGTGTCTGCTAAGGAAGGCAGAGCCTCCCTTAAAATTGAAAATGTAAACCCCCTCCCTCCAAATTACTATAATTTTGAAATTAAGGGGCTCTCAGGGAAAAAATATGGAAATAGGAATAACAGTTCTTTGCTAGGAAAAATAAAATAAAAAATGCAGTAGTAGAAAGAAAACACTGACAGAGTCAGAATCCAAGCTGACACACTGTTAGTCAGGGTGTTTGTTGCACTCCGATTAAATGGTGGCTGCAGTCCTCCTGGAGGGACAGATGTGGTTCTGTTGAAGCAGTGGTTCCTGCAGAAGGGTGTAGTTTTCCTCCAAAGGTCCAGTGGTGGTGTAGATAGGTCTGGTCTTCCTCGGCGAATCTAGTGCAGAAGAAAAGCTGCTCCTCTGGGAATCCAGATGAGAAGAAACGCTGCTCCTCTGGGAATCCAGTGGGAAAAGCCTGACTGTGGTGTTCCAAATCTCTGATTATATCCAGGTAGGAATGCCTGGCTCCTCCCCATGGGTGGAACATCTACCAATGGGGTGAGGTAATTTTATCAGTCCTGCAGTGAGGCTCAATGGCCCATTAACAGAAGATATCTCCCTGAAGGGCTTGTGGAAGAGATAAAGAAAACTGCCCAATTAACAGAAGATAACTGCCCCACCTCTAACAGATGGCAATAGAATACATACCCCCCCCCCCACATCTTGCATTTCCAACCTCAGACACTCTCCGTTGCTCTCAGTAGCCCAAAGTGTGATCCCAGTTGCTCCCTTTTAACAGCAGTATGATCCCAGTAACTTCCAATATGATCCAAGTCATGTACCACCATTCCCAGTATGGTCCTAGTATAATCCTAGCTGCTTCCAGTCCATCCCAGTATGGTCCCAGCTGCCTCCAGCTACATCAACACAATCAGTCCCAGTATGATGTCATTTGCTCTCAGCATGCTCCCAGTTGCTCACAGCAGCTCCCACTCACTCTCAGAATGATCCCAGTCATTCCCAGTATATCACATTAGGCCCTAGCATGGTCTCAATTGGCCCGGCAGGTTCCTACTCACTTCCAAAATGATCCCAGGATGATCCCAGTACAGCCCAGTCTCTCCCAGCGATGCCACTCCTGGCATCCCCCAGCCCTGTCTGTGTTCCCCCCTCCCAGATTGCCCGATAGGAGCCCCAGGGGCTGGAAGGCTCAACCAGGGTCCCCAGCAAGCCCCAGTGTGGATGTGCAGCCCCCAGTTTTCCCAGTTTGCCTCTCCTTCTCCTCAGGCAGGGTTCTCCTCCTCCTGCTCCTCCCGGCCCCAGTGGGTGGGAGCAGCCGAGAGCCTCGCACTGCCCATCCCGACCTGTCCCAGCTCCATCCCCGCTCCTGCCACAGGCTGCGAGGGCTGCGGGACCAGGGCAGGAGGAATGGGATGGTGGAGCAGGGTCAGAAGAGCAGAGAGGAGAAAGCGAGGGCTGGAGCGTGTGTTCCCCCTGCTTCCACTTCCTACTCCTCCTCCTCTCACCCAGCTCTTCCTCCCACCCGTCCTCCTCCTCTTCCTCTTCCTCCTCCACACCTCCTCCTCCTCCTCCTTCTCTTGTTCCCTCCAGCCCTTGTCCTGCTGCTTCTCCCTCCCTGCTCCACCATCCCATTCCTCCTGCCCTGGTCCCGCAGCCCTCGCAGCCTGTGGCAGGAGCGGGGATGGAGCTGGGACAGGTCGGGATGGGCAGTGCGAGGCTCTCGGCTGCTCCCACCCACTGGGGCCGGGAGGAGCAGGAGGAGGAGAACCCTGCCTGAGGAGAAGGAGAGGCAAACTGGGAAAACTGGGGGCTGCACATCCACACTGGGGCTTGCTGGGGACCCTGGTTGAGCCTTCCAGCCCCTGGGGCTCCTATCGGGCAATCTGGGAGGGGGGAACACAGACAGGGCTGGGGGATGCCAGGAGTGGCATCGCTGGGAGAGACTGGGCTGTACTGGGATCATCCTGGGATCATTTTGGAAGTGAGTAGGAACCTGCCGGGCCAATTGAGACCATGCTAGGGCCTAATGTGATATACTGGGAATGACTGGGATCATTCTGAGAGTGAGTGGGAGCTGCTGTGAGCAACTGGGAGCATGCTGAGAGCAAATGACATCATACTGGGACTGATTGTGTTGATGTAGCTGGAGGCAGCTGGGACCATACTGGGATGGACTGGAAGCAGCTAGGATTATACTAGGACCATACTGGGAATGGTGGTACATGACTTGGATCATATTGGAAGTTACTGGGATCATACTGCTGTTAAAAGGGAGCAACTGGGATCACACTTTGGGCTACTGAGAGCAACGGAGAGTGTCTGAGGTTGGAAATGCAAGATGTGGGGGGGGGGGTATGTATTCTATTGCCATCTGTTAGAGGTGGGGCAGTTATCTTCTGTTAATTGGGCAGTTTTCTTTATCTCTTCCACAAGCCCTTCAGGGAGATATCTTCTGTTAATGGGCCATTGAGCCTCACTGCAGGACTGATAAAATTACCTCACCCCATTGGTAGATGTTCCACCCATGGGGAGGAGCCAGGCATTCCTACCTGGATATAATCAGAGATTTGGAACACCACAGTCAGGCTTTTCCCACTGGATTCCCAGAGGAGCAGCGTTTCTTCTCATCTGGATTCCCAGAGGAGCAGCTTTTCTTCTGCACTAGATTCGCCGAGGAAGACCAGACCTATCTACACCACCACTGGACCTTTGGAGGAAAACTACACCCTTCTGCAGGAACCACTGCTTCAACAGAACCACATCTGTCCCTCCAGGAGGACTGCAGCCACCATTTAATCGGAGTGCAACAAACACCCTGACTAACAGTGTGTCAGCTTGGATTCTGACTCTGTCAGTGTTTTCTTTCTACTACTGCATTTTTTATTTTATTTTTCCTAGCAAAGAACTGTTATTCCTATTTCCATATTTTTTCCCTGAGAGCCCCTTAATTTCAAAATTATAGTAATTTGGAGGGAGGGGGTTTACATTTTCAATTTTAAGGGAGGCTCTGCCTTCCTTAGCAGACACCAAGACAGGCAGCGGGACCATCAAACCCAACGCGCCCAGCCCTTGTTTTCCCCCAAACCAGGATTTCCTGTTTCTAAACCTTGGCCCGATGCAAGAGGAGGAGGTCGTGAGGAAGAGGAAGATGGCCCAGCAGCCCCAAGCAGGTGAGGAGGAAGTCAGTGCCCCTTTCCACCTCTCTCCTGCGCCCCCATCTCCCACCCCAGCACGGCCCCCGGCTGCAGGACAACCCTGCTGCCAAAGCTGTCCTGCTGGGGATGCACTGGGGGGATCTCCTTGTCCTTCCCTGTGGCACGGAGGCAAATCCCATCTTCTCCTTGTCCTGCCTCCCCCAGACCAGGAGCTGAGGATGGAGATCAGGGCGGACAAATCCCCACAGCAGAACCTTGTGGAAGAGGCTGTTTTGAGCAGCTCCACAGCACAGGAATCCAACGGGGAGGAAAAACCCCGGAGATCCCACACGAGGAGGGGCTGCAAACGCAGATCTCGGGGATCTGAGGGGGAAAGACCCACCCTGGACTGGGGTGGCGCCTGGAGCTCAGAGCTGGTGGTCCATGAGCAGCTTCAGGGTAAGGAGAAGCCCCAGAAGTGCTTGAAATGTGGGAAGAGCTTCAACCAGAAATCCAACCTGATCTGCCACATGAGAATCCACACGGGGGAGAGGCCCTATATATGTGAGGAGTGTGGGAAGAGCTTCAGCCGGAGATCCAACTTGACTGTCCACCTCAGGAGCCACACCAAGGAGAGGTCTTACAAGTGTGAGGAGTGTGGGAAGAGCTTCAGCCGGATCTCCTGCCTGATTGTCCACCTGAGGAGGCACACCGAGGAGAGGTCCTACAAGTGTGAGGAGTGTGGGAAGAGCTTCAGCCGGATCTCCCACCTGACTGTCCACATGAGGAGGCACACTGGGGAGAAACCCTACGAGTGTGATAAATGCAGAAAGGGGTTTCAGACCAGCTCTGGTCTCCTCAGGCACCAGCACACTCACACAGAGGAGAGGCCCTTCCTCTGCCCCGACTGTGGGAAAGGCTTCAAGTACAACTCCTCCCTTGTCAGCCACCAGCACATGCACACCCAGGAGAGGCCCTATGAGTGTCCCGACTGTGGGAAGAGATTCACCCACAAGTCGAACCTGATTGTCCACAAGAGGATCCACACTGGCGAGAGGTCTTACGAGTGTGGGGAGTGTGGGAAAAGCTTCTGCCAGCGCTCCCACCTGATCTACCACCTCAGGAGCCACACTGGGGAGAAGCCCTTCGAGTGTGATAAATGCAGGAAGAGGTTTCAGACCAGCTCTCATCTTGTCAGGCACCAGAGGATTCACACGGATGAGCGGCCCTTTCGCTGCCCTGACTGCGGGAAGGGCTTCAGGGATAACTCCACCCTCGTGACCCACCGGCGCATCCACGCTGGGGAGAGGCCCTATGAGTGTCCGGAGTGTGGGAAGAGCTTCTCTCAGAGCTCTATCTTGAGCAGACACCAACAGAGCCAGCACTAAGGGCAGCACTGTGAGTGCCCCAAGTGCAGGAAGAGCTTCCTGTGCTGCTCCAGCTCCTGGCCCCAAAGAGGGATCCACCCTGGATGATCCCCAGTGACCCTCGGTAAGCAGAGCCCGGGCAATCCCTGTTGCCGGTTATCCATGTTGGAAACCACCTGTCCAGCGGCTTCACGTCTTCCTGGCACCCTGTGACCTGGATTTTCCTTTCATTTCTGTTTGTCCCTTTAAAACACACAAAACCAGGGTAAAAATAAAGACATTGAAATAAGCCATTGATGGGGACATGGGGGGATCTTCCAGGGGATGGGGGACATGCTGGGTTTGAGTGAGGTGAGAGTTCCTGGGAGGGACTTGGGGGTTGCTCAGGGCTTTGGGCAGAACAGGCCTAGTAGCTGTAGAAATGCTGGGAGACCCTGGTGAAAGTTGTGGGGCGGCTGATCAAGTACCCCCTGCCCTGGAACTGTCTCTGTGTCCCTTTGTCCTGATTGCCAATGTCCCCTGTCCAGGATCCCCCTCTCCCTGCTTTCACCCCCTCTCACCCACCCATTCTAGTGTCACCCTGGTACCGTTCCACTCCCATCCCAGCCGGAATCTCATTCCAGTCTCATTCCCTGTCCCTGTCCCATATTCCAAGTCTCTGTTCCCCTTCTGTTATTCACGGTCCCACTTCTGTTCCCATATTTCCATTTCAATATTCCATGTCCTATACCCATATTCCAATTCCCGGTTCCTGTCCCCATTCTCTGTGCCATTCCAGTTCCGGGTGGCATTTCCAATCATGTCCCCATTCCCAGTCCTCTTCCTGGTCCCCATTCCCACTCCCTGTCCCCATTCCCGCTCCCTGTCCCCTCTCACCAGATGCCGCCGCCATTGCTCCAGCCTCCCCGGCCCTCACATAAGCGAGCAAACCCTGCGCTGCTCCCACCTACCAATCCCCATAGGATCCCAATAGGAGAGTGCGCGACCACTCTCCTATTCTCATAACCACGTCTTCTATCGTGGCCCCGCTAGCCGCCGGCTGCAGTCGCTTCCGAGTGCTGTCTGCTCCCAGTTCCCTCCCAGTGCTCCCAGTAAAAGCGGGACTGGCAGGGAAAGCGCTCCCAATTCCTTCCCACTGCTCTCAGGATCTTTCCCAATGCTCCCAGTTTCACTGCCCAGTTTCACTGCCGTGCTGTTTCGGAACCCGCCCAGGGCAGAGCTTGGCTGCTTTTGGGTGTCAGCATTGCCCGAGCTGGGCTAGGAGCGAAAGAAAAGTGGGAGGAAGTGGAGGAACAGAGGACAAGGCGTAAGAGGAGGAGCGGAAGGAAGAGGAGCAGCAGAACCACGTTGGTTTCCCCGCAACCTTCCCCCGCTGCTCAGGCCAAAGCGCCCCCGGCTCCTGCTGCATCGCCCCCTCTAGGAGCCGCAGGTGAGTGGGGAGGGGGAGCTCACCTCAGATCCATCAGGGGGTCTCCAGGATGGCTTTTTTGCGAGGCATGGGATGTTTGGATCTTGCAGGACCTGAAACCTGAACCGTAATTTTCCCATGGAGGAAACACCCTCACGTTCGCCCGGTACCGGCAGGCACGGGGCGATCTTGGGCTGGGGGATGCCCGGGAGAGCCGAGGGGAGCTCGGGAGCCCTGGAGTGGGGAGAGCGCAGAGGGGCGATCGTGGAGCCGGGAGACAAACTGGCTGCCTGGAGGAGTGGGGGAGGCTGAGGATGAGCGGGCCCCGGGCCCTCAGAGGCTGAAAGGGGCGCTGACTTCTCCAGCTGCACTTGGGCAGAGGGACCATCAAACCCAACGCGCCCAGCCCTTGTTTTCCCCCAAACCAGGATTTCCTGTTTCTAAACCTTGGCCCGATGAAGAAGGAGGAGGCCATGAGGAGGCAGATGGCCCAGCAGCCCCAGGCAGGTGAGGAGGAAGTCAGTGCCCCTTTCCACCTCTCTCCTGCGCCCCCATCTCCCACCCCAGCACGGCCCCCAGCTGCAGGACAACCCTGCTGCCAAAGCTGTCCTGCTGGGGATGCACTGGGGGGATCTCCTTGTCCTTCCCTGTGGCACGGAGGCAAATTCCATCTTCTCCTTGTCCTTCCTTCCCCAGACAATGAGCTGAGGATGGAAACCAGGGAGGTCAAATCCCCACAGCAGAACCTTGTGGAAGAGGCAGTTTTGAGCAGCTCCACAGCACAGGAATCAAAGGGGAAAGAAAAGCCCTGGAGATCCCACACGAGGAGGGGCTGCCAACGCCGATCACGTGGATCTGAGGAGGAAAGACCCACCCTGGGCCAGGGAGGGAGCTGCAGCTCAGAGCTGGGGTTCCATGAGCAGCTCCAGGATGGGGAGAAGTCTCAGAAGTGCTCAGAATGTGGGAAGAGCTTCTCCCTGAGCTCCTCCCTGATCCGCCACATGAGAATCCACATAGAAGAACGTCTCGAAGAGTGTGATAAATGCAGGAAGAGGTTTCAGATGAGTTCTTGCCTCATCAGGCATCAGTGGAGTCACAAAGGTGAGAGGCCCTTCTGCTGCCACCATTGTGCAAAAGGCTTCATGTATAACTCCGGCCTCATCACTACCTGCGCATCCACAGCGGGGAGAGGCCCTACGAGTGTCCTGAGTTTGGAAAGAGTTTCACCCAGAACTCCACCCTGACTGCCCACCTGAGGACCTGCACGGAGTCACGACCCTATGAGTGTGCAGAGTGTAGGAAGAGCTTCAGGACGAGCTCTGAACTGACCATCCACCAGAGAAACCACACTGGAGACTGGCCTTTTGAGTGTGGGGAATGTGGGAACAGCTACCAGAGGAGAAGCCACCTGACCCGCCACATGGAAGTCCACACAGGGCTGGAACAGCCCTACAAATGTGGGCAGTGTGGGAAGAGCTTCATGTCAAAGTCCCACCTGATTGGCCACCTGAGGATCCACACTGGGAAGAGGCCCTGTGAGTGTGTTAAATTCAAGAAGAGGTTTCAGACCAGCTCCTTTCTCCTCCTGCACCAGCAGCTTCACACAGGTTAGCGGCCCTTCAACTGCCCTGACTGTGGGAAGGGCTTCAAGCAGAACGCTGCTCTCATCAGCCACCGGTGCATCCACACTGGGGAGAGGCCCTACAAGTGTTCTGAGTGTAGGAAGAGCTTCTCTCAGAGCTCTAACTTGACACCAGACACCAACAGAGCCAGCACTAAGGGCAGTCCTGCAACAGGAAGAGCTTCGTTCCCATGACACCCTTTGTCCTCTGATTTTGGGTCCTTTCCCCCCACTTTGAGACGTTTCCCCCTGTTTTGTATCCTTTCCCCATCTTTTGCATCTTTTCTCCCTATTTTGTGTCTTTTCCTCCCTACTTTGGATCTTTCTCTGTCATTTGGGTCACCTCCCCCCCATTTTCGGTCACTCTCCCCCTATTTGGGGTCCTTTTCCCCCTTTTTGGCTCATTTCCCTATTTTCCATCCTTCCCCCCGCCCCAGTTTCAAACATCCTCCACTTTGACTTGGTGAAGTTTTGGGTGCATCCCACCCTCCAACCCTCTCCACACCCCTAAATCCCCTTCACCTCCCCACCCCCACCCACCCAGGCATGTCCCCAGCTGTGTTCCTAACTGTCCCCCCATGCCACATGGACTCAGTGCTCGCTATCCTGGATGCCCTTGAGTCCCCAGCCCAGGACTCTGGATCTCCTTTTCCAGGAATTCCAGAGCTGGCCTGGCTTCCAGGGAACACCAGTGGCACTGGGCCTCGGGGTGGGTGGCCTGGTGGGGTTGCTGGGACGGGGTTTGGGGTCATCTTGGCACTGACCAAGGGTCTTGTCCACTCTGCAGTGAGAAGTGCCCCTGGCTGGAGAGTATGGGATGGATGGGGGCAGGAGAGGTTGGACCTTGGTCCAGATGGACACGAGATCATGGATCCCACTCTGGATGGACACTGATCCAGATAGACACCAGAGCCATGGATCCCACTCTGGATGGACCCTGGTCCAGATGGACACCAGAGCCATGGATCCCACTCTAGATGGACACTGGTCCAGATGGACACCAGACCATGGATCCCAGCTGGATTCTGATCTGGACAGCCCCTGGCCCTGCAGCCAGCCTGCCCCCAGCCCAGATGACCACCAGCCTGGCCACAGCCTGGCCCATCCCACTGTCCCACCAGCCCATCCCAGTAGCCCCCAACCCAAAATCCCCCAAAATAAACCCAATGCTATAACATAAGCTCCACATGGTCCCTGCAGAGGGAGAGGGAAACTGAGGTGAGGGCTGGGGAGGTGACTTTGTGGTGATGGGAGGGGACTTTGGGACCCACCCTGGAGACTCCAAAAAGAGCACCCATCCCCCAAATTGTCACCACAGCATTGTGGGCCCTCAGGCTGTCCCTGCAGGAGCCACCAGCTGTCACTCCAAGAGCCACTGTGACCCTGCAGTCCCTTTGATGGGTAACCCACGCTGTGCCCTCAGTGTCATTGGCACACCCCCAGTGGGAGCAGCGGCATCACCTCCTGGGGCACAGGTGAAGGAGGAGGAAGAGGTAGGGGCGGGGGGGGGCAGTGCAGAGTCGCACAGCGCCCTTGGGGGGATGGAAGTGGTTAGGGAGACGCCAAAAATGTTGTTCCTTCCCCCCCACTGTAGGATGTGGGCCACCCCCTGTTTTGGGGCACTGGTGACAAATTGGCGGGTGGTGGTGACAAAAAGCACAGGTGCCACCTCAGGGGTGACACAGAGAGGGGGTCCTGCAGTGCCACCAAGTCCCCCACGCTGAGGGAGTGACAAAGGGGGGGTCGGCAGGGGGGAGGGGAAGTGTGGCAGGGGTGCCATGGAAATGCCCCCGGTTCTCCTGTGGCCGGGATGTGCGGGTGGTGGAGCTCCGGTCACCCTGTCTCCCTGGCAGCCTGTCACCATGACTGTGTTCACAGGGGTCTTAGCATGAGGGAATAGATGAGGATCTGACTCCATGTTTCAGAAGGCTTGGTTTATTATTAAATTATATCTATTATATTAAAACTATACTAAAAGAATAAAAGAAAGAA